TTTCTGAAAAGATCTGTTAAAGCCTATGTATCATATTAAAACAAATATTACAATTTATTTTTATTGATGGACTAAATAGAAATTTCAAGTACTCAATATAATTAAGGTTAATACCATAAAAAATCCAAAACCGGTAAACTTGTGACAAATTTACCCTAAATTAATTTTTTGACCATCAAAAACTCCAAACTGGTACACTTGTGACAAATTTACTCCAAACCAATATTTTTCTTTTGGCAACCCGGGAACCCCTCACACGGCCGACAGCCGGGGAGGTAAACCCGGTGTGACGCTAGTGCATGACCCACCACCACGACGTCACGCTTAAGAATCCCTAACGCCAGCGCTGTGATTCGAACTCCTACCCTTCGTGGGGGGAAGGGAGCCCGAAGCCAACGCAGCCGCTGAGGGTTGACCACCATAAACTCCAAATTGTTTCATTTGTGACAAATTTACCCTCAATTAGTTTCTATTAAATTAGATTAATACCACAAAAAACTCCAAACTGGTACACCCGTCAATTGTCACGTGTCATCAAACTCAGTAAATTGACGGTAAAATTTAACGGAAATTAACTACGGGTAAATTTGTCACAGGTGTACCAGTTTGGGGTTTTTGATGGTCAAAAAATTAGTTTGAGATTAATTTGTCATAGATATATCAGTTTGGGGTTTTCCATGATATTAACTCATATAATTATAGCATAATTTCATAAATCTCTGACCGTGGAATTTGAACTTGAATCATTCTCATCATCTATTCTTCTAGATGAATCTCCCATAATGATATAATTTCAAGATCATTATGCTTGCTCTACACATTTAATTAGAACTTTCTTACCTTTTTTTTACATAGATGCAACTGTGCTCTATTGCTGTCGAAAGAAATGGAGAAAATACTTACTGCAATCTACGGATTGAAAACATGGCTATGATATGCACTTCGACGTAATCCAAAATGACTGAATCAGGCGAAATGAGTGACAATGAGTGACATTATTTTGTCATTTTTGTTTGAATTAAGGCGACGAAACTCTGATTTTGTTGTCTTGGGATATGAGTTAAGCAGATAAACTTAAGAATTTGTCCCCTTTGATCAACACTATAGTGACAAACTTAACAATTCGTCACCTTTGGTCGACTCTACAGAGACGGAAACTATATTCTGTCACCTTTTATCGCTTTAGAGTGTTTTTCTCGAAAGGACATCTCTCTACTTGCATAAATTGCAGCTGTTGAACCGCATTTTTACCGCATGATTTACATTTTATATCAGCCACACGTATGTTTTTACAAACTTCTTGTTGATTGCATCATTTGCGTGCATTTCATCGTTTGATTCATTTTCCGTTAAACTATGTTGCATTAAATTCTCTTTTGCCATTTATATGCATTTGCGAATGTGCTTTAGGTGATTGAATCATTTGCATATAATTATGTCAAAACTGCATCCATTACATTCCCGGCAATTGCATCTTTTGAATGAGCTGATGTTTATGATGTCATTCGAATGCGCCTTTGTTCTACATCTCTCCCCTATATATTTGTTAATGGGTTATAGGATCGTCGTGATTTTTCGCTTCCCCTCTTAGCCTTTCCCTTGGCCGGCATTCGAGGTCACTCTCTGACCCACTTCGTAGGGACTAAAAACCAAAGTATAGGATGTTGACTAAGACAACAAAAATTATTGGTCTTTACCAAAAAAAAAAACAAAAATTATTGGGGATTGACTAAGATAATCATGAAATTAGACCAGTATGCAATATTGGCATATTGAGTTGTCGGGACGCTTATCAACAGTTAAATATGATGAGCAAAAGACATGGTTAGACAATAACTTTTAAATAAACTAGATGAGTATCTCGTAAACTTCGAAGAAAATAAGCAGGATCGAGACATGATAATTTGGACAAACAGAAACATCAGATTTAGGATTGAGACAAGTTATGGTGACGATGACATATTTGGTTCCATATTAGGTTTGCCGGATCTCTTGACTTAGTTTTATTGCTTGACTTGGACATTTCGATGACCGAGGACTCCCAACTCTTCCCAATGATATAATGCATTCCATCGCATTACTCAGAAGCTAAAACTTTCATTGCATCAGATTAAACAGTGGAGAGATGATAAATTCTCTCAGCTCCACATTTATGTACCTTGTTTTACTACTCATATTGCATGTTCTATTGCTAGGGACCAGCTGCGGTGTGAAGACAAGTCACTTGTGTGCAGTTTCATCTTGCGGTGAGATCCACAACATAAGCTATCCCTTCCGATTAAAAGGCGATCCAAAAGGCTGTGGCAACTCTAAATATGAGCTAGATTGTGAAAATAACCGCACCGTTCTATATTTGTATACCGGCCGTTATTATGTGAAGTCGATCCATTACAGGGCCAATCTAGATAAGGATTACTTCTATGGTGACATCACGTTGGTCGACGATGGGCTGCAAAAGGGTAATTGCTTGTCCCTTCCTCGTTATTCATTGGCGCAATCCAACTTCAGTAAATATGATACCTACAATCCATACCATCGTGTTGGTCGTTCCTCAGCAGCCTTGGTGACCTTCATGAAGTGCTCACAGCCCGTTGCTTCTGTTTCATATGTCGATACCAAACCATGTATCGAGGGAGCATACCCTGTGGACACGCCTCCTAATTTTTCCCAAATGAAGGTGTACTCATACGTTGTACATGAGTTTGATCTACGAGTACGGGACATCAAGGATTCTTGCACAATAACCCTGATGGCATTCGCACCAGATTATATCTGGGAGTGGGAAGGGGATCAGTATAACCGTGTGAGCTCAATATATAAGGACCTCCACAACCTGATGACCGACGGATTCAATCTCTCCTATTGGTTGCGAGGAAGAAGATTTCGATTATGCTTCTTAGGTTTCAGATACTCGGGGCTTGTGTGCAGTTACTATAACTCCCGTAAGCAACTTTCCATGAGCTTTTCTTTCTTTCTTTCTTCTTCTTCCTCCTCTTCCTTTGCGGAAATGCTAGCTCTATTAAGAGATCTTGCTAGGGATAAGAATAATAGGAGTGCCATAACTTTTTTACGGCGATAACTTGAGTGTCATAACTTTTTCTTCACTCACTTTAAGTGTCACAAATTTGAAAAATCGATCACTTAAGTGCAATCGGCGATTCGCTTTCTCGGAAAATCCGACGTGGATGCCAATTATCTTATGTGGCACCACCGGCGCTGACGTGGATAATTTTTATTTTTTTGCTTACTTAAGTGCCACAAATTTGAAAAATCGATCACTTAAGTGTCATTGATAATTTGCCTCGCTAGAAAATTTGCCACCAACCCTCCCAAATCTGGCGAGGGCCTTTGCGCCCGCGGATGGCGAGGTCGCCATGGCCCTGGGCAAGGCTATCGTGGCCTTGCCCGCAGCCGGCAATGGCCTCGTCAAGGGCCTTTGCGGCCGGCGCATAGAAAAAAGAAACAAAGAAAAAAAGGAAAATAAAAAATAACAAAAAATCATTTAAAAAAAATGCAAAAAATCCATGTAGGATGATTTGCCAGAAATGACCCTCAAATAATCGATTTTACTCTGATGTGGCACTTAAGTGAATGAAAAAATAAATTATGGAACTCAAGTGAGTATCGTACGAAAGTTATGACACTTATGCTATTTTTATCTTGACCTTGCTAAAATTTACTCACCGAGTAATGTGGCAAGTTTCAATTCAATATTGTAAGATTTGGGATCTACATGTTGAGTCATTAGTTTCTTTAAATCCCCAATAGAGAAAATTGCCACATCACTTATGTTAAAAAATTTCGTAAGATTTCTTAGCTCTTTTCTATTTTACAAACCGTGGAGCTTTAGTGGATTTGAGACTATTCCTTATACTTGTTTGGGGGAAAAATGATTGATTTGATAGTAGCTCGTGTTTCTTTCGTGGCAGTTATTATTATGCGGGTGAATAAATTGCGCACATATTGAATGATGCTTATAAATTAGAACTAAGTGCGTGTGACTCGTGAAGTTATGAATTTTTTGGTGCATTCATTGGAACAAAAGCGAAATCGTGAATAGAATAAAGGTGGATCTAACAGGAGAGTGAAACTCTTTCACTTTTCTTTATTCTAGACTACTCCCGCCGCTCGCAACTTTCAATGAACAAAAGTGAGCCCTTGTACTTTGCAGTGATTGCATGAATTTATCTTTGACTTGGGTTATTTCTTAACGTGAATTATTTTTATTTTTAACTGCTAAAATGACAGATTGAGTTCTTCATTGATTGGACGTCGCTTCTAATTAATCATTTTCAGTCATCTCCAACGAATTCTGTTACTTTCTACAGATAATTTCAGGGCAGATGAGGTTGCGCCACGTGCAGTTTTGGATCTCGCCTTTGTCATGGGTAAGACCAGTCCTTTTCTCCTCACAGCCTTTATATGTGTAAAAAATTATTACACTGCGCTAATCTATGGACAAATTTCTCGCAGGCAACTTCCTCGGAGCAAAATTCACACTCGGAGCTCCATGTGTGTTGATATTTTTAATCTACAAGTGGAGGAAAAGGCATGTAGCAATGGACGAAAACATCGAAGAATTTCTACAAACTCACAATAACTTTTCGCCCATAAGGTACTCTTACTCCGATATCAAGAAAATCACAAGAAATTTCAAATACAAATTAGGTGAAGGAGGATATGGTTCTGTGTACAAAGGAATACTTAGAAGTGGCAATGAAGTTGCTGTTAAGATTTTAAACAAACCAAATTCTAATGGCCAAGATTTTATAAGCGAAGTTGCTACAATAGGAAGGATCCACCATGTTAATGTGGTGCAACTTGTTGGTTTTTGCTTTCACAACTCTAAACAAGCTCTCGTGTATGATTTCATGTCGAATGGGTCTTTGGATAAGCACATTTTCCCTAAAGATGGCGACTATTCTCTTGATTATAAGAAACTATATGAGATCTCTCTCGGTGTGGCTAGAGGGATAAATTATCTACATCGAGGATGTGACATGCAAATTCTACATTTTGATATCAAGCCTCACAATATTCTTCTGGATCAAAATTTCACTCCAAAAGTTTCTGACTTTGGGCTTGCAAAACTTTATCCTGTGGATCATAGTATAGTTTTGTTAACTGCTGCAAGAGGAACCTTGGGATATATGGCTCCTGAGCTATTCTATAAGGACATTGGTGGTGTCTCTTATAAAGCTGATGTTTATAGTTTTGGGATGTTGTTGATGGAAATGGCCGGAAGGAGGAGAAATGTAAATGCAAATGCTGACCGTTCAAGTCAAATTTATTTCCCTCTATGGGTTTATGATCAACTCAGCAGAGAAAATGAGGTTGAAATGGAAGAAGTGGAAGAGGAAAAAGAGCTAACTAGAAAAATGGTCATAGTTGCCCTTTGGTGTATACAGTTAATGCCTGATGAGCGACCATCAATGAGCAGGGTCCTAGACATGCTTGAAGGAGATATCGATAAATTGCGATTGCCCCCGAAGCCACTTCTGTATCCGTCCGAGAAGCCAATTAATGATGTCGACACTGAAATAGAACTTGAATCATTCTCAACTTCATACAATACTTCGACAAATTCTGGCGGATATCAATTTCAGCATAACAATGAAATTACGAACTCGTGCACCGTTTGATTTTCTTTTCCTCCATGTATGAATGGAATATAAAATAAATGTAATTCTATCATAAGCATAATCGTACATCCTTTGTCAATTTCTGTGTTTTGTGGAAGAATTGCCTCATGGCTATCTATTTAAATTTCTCGTTTCGTGAGTGTTCTTGATATTACAGTCTTAAAAGGAGCAATGAGTCTGTATCTCTTCCTTCCACCGTCCAAGTTTAGGCTCTCTCTCCTTCCCGCCAAAACCTCTCACCGTCACCCTTCGACCGCTGCTTGATCACCCACCTCGACGGCGGCCACATCCGCAAAACGATCTCGCACCTCGAGCTCCTCACCTTCTCACTCCTCCTCAAGTCCTGCATTTGCTCCTGCATATCACTGCTCGGGAGGCGCGTCCATCATTCGCTCGCTTGGTCCAAATTCGAGCCCAACGCGATGATTCTCAACTCGCTTATCAGTCTCTACTCAAAATGCAATGATTGAGCTGAGGAGGAGAGGATTTTTAGGGACATGGGTTAGGAAAAGGCACTTGGCTTCTTGGAGTTCCATAAACTCTTGCTATGCCAATGATCACATGGAGTTTGTAGCAGTTGATACTTGCGTTCATATGCTTGAAGATGGTTTTTCCCCTGACAATTATTTTTTCGTGTTGGTTATTTGGGCTTGTTCTGTTCCGGATTGGTGATACAGTTTTTTGGTTTATAATTAAAAGGGTTATCTGATTCTTATGTGTTTTTGGTGTGCACTGATTGACATATTTGCAAAGGGTGGTGCTGATTTGGTTTCAGATAGTAAGGTTTTTGAGAAAATGAACGAGAGGAATGTAGTTGACTTTGAGGATAACAAGATGTACTCAGTTAGGTTGTCTAAAGAAAGCTGTTGATTTGTTTTGGGATATGCTGGTGAGTGTGCCTGTGCCAAATAGATTTATACCTATAGCTTTTTGGGGGCATGTTCGGAGTTTGTTACTATAGCTTGGCATACAATTGCATTCCTGGGTTATACGGTCTAGATTGGCTTTGCATGTCTGTTTGATGCAGCTTGGTGGACATGCATTGGAAGTGTGTAGCTAGGGGAACCTTTCATGATTCAAGAAGGTGCTTGATCGGATGCAGGATTTGTAATATTTGGTAAAAACAGAAAAGAAAAGCTAGAAACGTTGAAAAGTCAAAAGCAATAAGGGATCAGTGGAATGCTTCAGCTCTATTTTTTTTTTTTTGGGTCTAAAGAAAAAAAAAAGAGAGGAATGCTTCGGCTCTATTAAGACGCCGAGCGCACGCACGCGGAAAAGAAGAAAAGAGAGGAAAGAAAAGAGAGAAAGGGAAAGCGGAAGAAGAAAAAAAGGGAAAAGAGAAGAGGGTTTTGCGCCACGGGACCTCGCCAAGCCGATTCGACTTCGTATTGCAACGCCCGGTAAGTACTCGCGACCCTCGTTCGTCCAATAGGAGTATTTATCGGAATTAGGTCATAATTTCGGAATTTTGTGAAAATCAAGCCACGTAGTCCAATTTTTGAGTCGTTGAGCTGCGTGTATATATATATAGAATTGGTAGTTTAGGGTGTCATTGAGCCATGGGATTATATGGAACTCAATTTGGACTTACCGTTTGCCCGAAACGAATTTTTGAAGTTGAGCAAGCGTGGTGACAGTGCGCGACCATCGGCTTTTAGGTTGATTTTCATTGGTTTTTGGCTCGATTTTGGGATAGCCAAGTTGTAGGTCTTCTAGTGCTTCAAAAGATCTTCCTTTTGATCGTAAGCTCGCTTGGAACGGAGTTCAGTGGAGAAAGTTGCTGCGCAACCAAGTTTCGCGCTCAAGCTCTGCATTGTGGACGGTTTTGGATAATCACTTTGGATGAGCGATTTGTGAGCGCCTTTGAATTATTTTGTTAGCGTTTAAGCGTCGTTTAGCCGTTTCGTAATTATCGGGGTATTTTTACTTGGTTTTGACTCGATTTTCCTTTAATTGTTATCATTACGAGATCGTCAGTTTGAGTGAGCGTCGTTGTTTGATTTTGGGGACTCCAGATGAGTGGTGCTATCTTTTCTATGGATTTGTAAACTCATGTTTTGAAAGCGAAAATGATTTGATATATTATGAGTTGTGAAAGAGCATATTTGTTGCATAAAAGTATGGATCGGGCATTTACTACATTTTGGTATTTGTAAATGGTTTAAGATATGTTTTGGGAATGGTGTTGTAAAACGATATATATATTGATTTGTGAACTTGGTTTATGAAATGAGTATGTGAAATATATTATGGTTTAAGAAACGAGTTCTTGAGTGAATTAAGAAATACTTTACGAAAAGGATTTCTGGTGATTGAGTTATACTTGGTTTGTGAAATGTATTTTGGTTGATGAACGAAACTGAGAAAGATTATATGTTTTGTTTTGTGAAATCAATTGGTGATATTGATTGTGGATTTGATTTCTAGTAATGGAGGATGTGGGTTTTGTGCTCAATATCACTGTGAACCCATTGAGGGGTTTGGGGGTATGCATACCGGGTTAGGATATCCTTCTGGGCCGAGCTACTAGCTTTGTAGATGGAGACCTTGCCAAGGGAGGAATATTGGTAGCCTTGTCATAAGACATTGTGTCGTAACTATGGTTTGATGTTGAGCAATAGATTGATCGTTGGAATGGACCATTGACGTGTAATGTGATATGAGATTCATAAATGGAATAGACCCTTGATAAGTGAATTGAGATTAGTCGATGGAATGGACCATTGACGTGATTTTTAATAGAGATTGATCAATGAACTTGACCATTGATGTTAACGATAATTTAAATGAGTATTTTCTGAATTGTATAAAGTCTTGTTGAAATGAAACAACTCTTATGTGACTCGATATGTATTTTATATCTTGAGTTTGGCTTATAAAATTCTGGTATGATTTTATGTATACATTCATAGTGGTTACTCGATCTGCTTAGAAGAGATACGCGTTACTTATTGAGCTATGGCTGTTCACTCCTCTCTTTCTCCAATCTTTTCAGATTTCTTGGTTAGTAGCCTATAGAGCGAGAACGATGTTGTAGGGACTTTTGGGAGTTAGATTTCTTATTGCGGTTTAAGGCTGCGTCCTTCGGGTGGAAGGACGGCCGTGTCATCCCTCATCCTAATAGGTTTTGGGGTGTGACAAGATCATATATGCGTAAACTGAAGAGTAAGGAGGTCATCAAACTCTTCTAGGAAATGAAAAAGATCCAGTTAGGTCAAACCGTGCTAGATTTGCTAGTGTTCTCAAGGTGTGCAAGTATTTGTGATGTAGATATGGGGATACAAATATGCTCGCTATCTATAAAATTGGGCTTTGCCTCTTATTAGCACGTGGTCGGGCCACATGGAAGACGCTCAGAGAGCTTTTGATGCGCTAATCGAAAAGTATTTGATTTCTTATGATTCCCTTGTGGATGCCTATGCCAAAATTTTGGATTCCGATGAAGCCTTTGAACTACTACATGAGATTGAGGAGAGAGGAATTGGAACAAGTGCTTTTACATTTGTTTGCCTTTTGAGTGGAGCTGCTTGTATTGGCTATTGGTAGAAAGAGCAAATCCATACAAGGATAGTAAAATCAGGGCTCCACACAAATCAGTGCATTTCCAATGCTCTGATCACTTTGTATTCAAGGTGTGGAAACCTATAAGGTACTTTCCAAGTTTTCAGTGAGACGAGAGAAAAATATTATTAAGCTACTTTCCAAGTTTTCAGTGAGACAAGAGAGAAAATTATTATAACTTGGACTTCAATGATCACTAGTTTCGCAAAACATGGATTTGTGACGAGAGCTCTGGACACATTCCATTTTATGCTTGAGGTGGTGTGAGGCCAAACAAGGTCACCTCTATTGCTGTATTATCTTCTTGTAGCCATGTGGGTTTGATATATGATTGATGGAAACACTTTAGGTCAATATACATAGAACGTGGACTCGAGCCCAGAATTGAACAACGTGCATGGATGGTGGACTTATTGGGCAAATCTAGATCCCTTGTTGATGCCCTTCAGTTTATAAATTCAATGTGTTTCAAGGCCAATGGTCTGGTGTACATTTCTCGGAGCTTGCCAAGTTCATGGTAATGTTACACTTGCAAAAACAAGCTGGAGCAGTGATTTTTTGGCAGGACCCTGCCTTAGCAAGCCTATGGGAAGATACAACAGCAATCGGAAAGAAAGTGTAACCGAAAAATCTTACAAAAGAAGTCGGTTGTAGCTGGATTCAAGTGAAAAATATAGTTCACAAGGTTTTTGTGGGTGACACTTTACACCCAAAGGCACAGGAGATTTATCACAAACTGGACCAATTGGCTAGTCGAATAAAGAAACTGGGTTACGTTCGGACCACTGAATTTGTTTCTTCATAATGTGGAGGAGGCAAAAAAGGAATAATATTTGCCCCAACACAGTGAGAAAATCGTTGTTGTTTTGGCCGTATAAGCACCATCAGTCTGAAATCTATCAGGGTATTTATGAATCATCACATTTACGGAGATGCCATTCTGCGGAGATTGACTAGCACCTTGACTCAATCAACATGTGTTAGACAAAGAAAGAAAATATAATAAGAAACAAAATATACGGAAGTTTCGGTTGGATTTGGCAAAAGGGTCTTCTTGTTATGTTGTGAATAGTCTTGGTGCCGTGAGCTATTTGTTCGTAATCCAAGGTAGGAGGTTCTTCGACGAATTACATCTCGTTGAAACTGAAGAGCGTTTTAGAGTAAATCTTGTGAATTAAAATTTGTTAATTCCTTCGACATATTGAGAGATTATTTGTTGAGAAATTATGAGGCTAAACACTGTGTAAGTTATTAGGTGTAATTGGGGACCGGAAAATACTAAGAGTGTTTGAGTGACTCGAGTGTGGTTGTAATCTCAATTGTATCGCTAGATCTACAGTGAAATTTTTTGCTGCTCTCTCCGTGGACGTAACTCACTACGATCGAATCACGTAAATATGGTGTCCGATTTATTTTTTTGTTTTATCTATTTTACTGCT